TTCCACTGTACATGAAATTTTGGTGCATACATTTCACTTGTGTTTCTGCCACAGGAAAAGTGGGCGGAGCTTGTGGTGATGTAGTGTACTGGAGTCTGTCTTGCTCCATTGTTTCCCATCATGCCATGCTTCATTGTGCTGCTAGAGCTCGGTGAGGAAGGAGGTCTGTTACGTTGTTCCTCAGTGCCCCTTTTTTCACTCGCCCATGAATTTTGCCACGCTATATTTCTGCTCTAATTGGTCAGAATGGGCCGAACTAAACTTTCAATTGTAGAGAAGACCCATGCGCTCACCCTATTAGAGCAAGGCATGTCTGTGAAATGCATAGCCGCAGACCTGAGGTGACTAGGATGGCAATTTACAACCTCAAGAAAGCACTCTATCAGCCAGGAAATTGGGCTCTGGGGCCCCCAAAAAGACTTCTCTTTGCACAGACAAAATCCTTAAGAAAAAGCATCCTGCCCTCCTAAAAGACGTTGCAGTGCAAACCATTCAGCACGGACTGCAAAAGGACCTGAAAATGCCTACTCGAAGAAGAAATGGCTTCAGTTCTGCAAGAGGTACAAGGATTGGACCTCAGACCAGTGGCAGAAGGTGATGTTCACCAATGAGAGTATCTTCAGGCTCTTCAGGAGCGACTCCAAGACCATCCATCGTCCCAGTGGTGTGTCCCATTATAAACAGCGTATACTGTGAAGACACTGAAGCACCCTAACAGTTAATGTTGCAGTTTAAAAACTGTAGTGTAAAGCACCCTTCTGGCAAGACAGTGATGGAGTGAATGATGGTGAAAGTTTTTCTTTTTCGGGCCACCCTGCCTTGGTGGGAATCGGCCAGTGTGATAATAAAAAAAAAAAATAATAAAAGGGCAGAGGTGGACTATACTTCCTTCCAAGGAACATTACGATGGAGGGAAGTAATTATATCAAGGTGTTAAGGGACACATACTGACTTTTTGGTACATTTCACGTGGTGATTTATTATATGCAGAGGTGCCCCTGCCCATAAGTCAAAAGCAGTGCAAAAGTTCCTCGAGGACAATAATATCAGTGTTCTGGAGTGGCCAGGCAATTCCCCTGGCCTAAATCCTATCGAGAATGCGTGGCCCATGGCATAAACAATAGAGACTGCAAAAGCTCCCCATCCAACTCATGGACCTAAGGAAGCACTGAGATCTTGGATCAACATGGACGCCCTGGCCTTTTCCACCTTCCCCACTCGATGCCCAATGGACTCAGATGTGATGAAGACAAGGGTAACTGAACAAATACCAAGTTGGAACTAAAAAGGGAAATAAAATCATTTTTTCGCTTTATTGTCCAAAATGGTAACTTAGATTTTTTTTGGCGTCACTGCCATACACGTTTAACCTTTACCTGCCGGCAAAGGGTAATTACCCCTTACCAAGAGTGGAAAAGGGTAAATACCAATCTCTCCGGCCTGGTAAAAGGGAAATACACCTACTCAGTCCTGTAAGTTTATTAAGAAGATAAATTGTATATTACTAGTGGGTCCTGCTTATACAGCAGGTTGGTCCTGGTTCACTGCAGTACAGAGTACCCTCCGCCTTAAAGCGGTTAGGTTCCTGGTTACGCGTACAGAGATCTGCTATAAAGGGTTAGGTTACCTGGTTCTGACAGGAGTCCTGCTTATAAGAGGTTAAGGTTCCTGATTACTGCTGTACAGGTCCTGTTATAAGCAGGTTAGGTTCCTGGTTACTGCTGTACAGGAGGTCCTGCTTATACAGCAGGTTAGGGTCCTGGCTACTGCTGTACAGGAGGTCCTGCTTATACAGCAGGTTAGGTTCCTGGTTACTGCTGCACGGGAGGGCCTGCTTATATGTTAGGTTAGGGTCCTGGTTACTGTTGTACAGGAGGTCCTGCTTATATGTTAGGTTAGGGTCCTGGTTACTGCTGCACAGGAGGTCCTGCTTATAAGTTAGGTTAGGGTCCTGGTTACTGCTGCACAGGAGGTCCTGCTTATACAGCAGGTTAGGTTCCTGGTTACTGCTGTACAGGAGGTCCTGCTTATATGTTAGGTTAGGGTCCTGGTTACTGCTGCACAGGAGGTCCTGCTTATATGTTAGGTTAGGGTCCTGGTTACTGCTGCACAGGAGGTCCTGCTTATACAGCAGGTTAGGTTCCTGGTTACTGCTGTACAGGAGGTCCTGCTTATATGTTAGGTTAGGGTCCTGGTTACTGCTGCACAGGAGGTCCTGCTTATACAGCAGGTTAGGTTCCTGGTTACTGCTGTACAGGAGGTCCTACTTATATGTTAGGTTAGGGTCCTGGTTACTGCTGCACAGGAGGTCCTGCTTATACAGCAGGTTAGGTTCCTGGTTACTGCTGTACAGGAGGTCCTGCTTATATGTTAGGTTAGGGTCCTGGTTACTGCTGTACAGGAGGTCCTGCTTATATGTTAGGTTAGGTTCCTGGTTACTGCTGTACAGGAGGTCCTGCTTATACAGCAGGTTAGGTTCCTGGTACTACTGTACAGGAGGTCCTCTTATACAGAGGTTAGGTCCTGGTTACTGCTCTACAGGAGGTCCTGCTTATACAGCAGGTTAGGTTCCTGGTTACTGCTGTACAGGAGGTCCTGCTTATATGTTAGGTTAAGGTCCTGGTTACTGCTGCACAGGAGGTCCTGCTTATACAGCAGGTTAGGTTCCTGGTTACTGCTGTACAGGAGGTCCTACTTATATGTTAGGTTAGGGTCCTGGTTACTGCTGCACAGGAGGTCCTGCTTATACAGCAGGTTAGGTTCCTGGTTACTGCTGTACAGGAGGTCCTGCTTATATGTTAGGTTAGGGTCCTGGTTACTGCTGTACAGGAGGTCCTGCTTATATGTTAGGTTAGGTTCCTGGTTACTGCTGTACAGGAGGTCCTGCTTATACAGCAGGTTAGGTTCCTGGCTACTACTGTACAGGAGGTCCTGCTTATACAGCAGGTTAGGTTCCTGGTTACTGCTCTACAGGAGGTCCTGCTTATACAGCAGGTTAGGTTCCTGGTTACTGCTGTACAGGAGGTCCTGCTTATATGTTAGGTTAGGTTCCTGGTTACTGCTGCACAGGAGGTCCTGCTTATACATTAGGTTAGGTTAGGTTCCTGGTTACTGCTGTACAGGAGGTCCTGCTTATATGTTAGGTTAGGTTCCTGGTTACTGCTGCACAGGAGGTCCTGCTTATACGTTAGGTTAGGTTAGGTTCCTGGTTATTGCTGTACAGAAGGTCCTGCTTATATGTTAGGTTAGGTTCCTGGTTACTGCTGCACAGGAGGTCCTGCTTATATGTTAGGTTAGGTTAGGTTCCTGGTTACTGCTGTACAGGAGGTCCTGCTTATATGTTAGGTTAGGTTCCTGGTTACTGCTGCACAGGAGGTCCTGCTTATACGTTAGGTTAGGTTAGGTTCCTGGTTACTGCTGTACAGGAGGTCCTGCTTATATGTTAGGTTAGGTTCCTGGTTACTGCTGCACAGGAGGTCCTGCTTATACGTTAGGTTAGGTTAGGTTCCTGGTTACTGCTGTACAGGAGATCCTGCTTATACGTTAGGTTAGGTTAGGTTCCTGGTTACTGCTGCACAGGAGGTCCTGCTTATACATTAGGTTAGGTTAGGTTCCTAGTTACTGCTGCACAGGAGGTCCTGCTTATACATTAGGTTAGGTTAGGTTCCTGGTTACTGCTGCACAGGAGGTCCTGCTTATACATTAGGTTAGGTTAGGTTCCTGGTTACTGCTGCACAGGAGGTCCTGCTTATACATTAGGTTAGGTTAGGTTCCTGGTTACTGCTGCACAGGAGGTCCTGCTTATACATTAGGTTAGGTTAGGTTCCTGGTTACTGCTGCACAGGAGGTCCTGCTTATACATTAGGTTAGGTTCCTGGTTACTGCTGTACAGGAGGTCCTGCTTATATGTTAGGTTAGGTTCCTGGCTACTGCAATAGAGTGAAAAATCACTGTAAAGTGAAACATAAGTCTTTCTTCACTTTCAAATGCATATAAAACCTGATAACATATTTACACTATCATATATTAAGTGAACAACAGAGCTAGGCCTAAAAAAATACATATACAGTACACATAACTTACTTTAAACTATTTTCATCCTTGCTTACAGTGAGTGAATATATTTATTGTAGGAAGTGAATAAATGAAGAATGGCTATATAGGCCTCCCTCAACATTCCTGAGGGTTAGGGAAATATAATAATAGGTTTTACTTAGCCTAACAATACTGCTTCCTTAACCTATTGAACCACGAGTGATCATAAAACACATGAAACTTCGTGAAATGTTGTACTAGTGTCGGTCCTTTGGTAAAGAAGGTGAGAAAGACTATAGAATTCAAGAAAGAACTCGTAGCAGAGTACCAAAAGGAGGAGGAAGAGAGAGGGGAGAATTTGCCTTCTTCAGTGAATCAGTGATTCTTCTATATGTATGATACTAAAGCAGCATGAGTCGATAAAGGCTACAGTGCCAGCCAGCAATAAAGTGTACCAGTAACAGTGTAGTAAGTTAATCGATAGAAAAAGGACAGCACGAACCTAACTCCTCCAATGTTGTTGGAGTTATACAGGGTGACTGACAACACCGCCGTCTGTAGTCTCTATGTCTGCTGCTGTCTTCACCACCATGTAAGGCTTAAGCCTCAGTGGCCCTTATACACCCAATAACAACACAGCTACACTCGTGACATAGTAATAACATTTTTATTCATTCTAGAGTATATGTTAAGTTTCTATGTTAGAGTTGATATTAGTGTCTTATTGATGGACTATCTTGTCCTACCTCCAAACAAACTCTGCCACCACCACAATTCCTAACATATGTAATGACATATTTTAAATGTGATTGGGCAGCTGGGAATTCACAAATGTTTGAAGCAAGCGAAAGTGGCAAACGCGAATGTTGTGGGAGACCTGTAGTTGTAAATTGTTGTATTAGCAAAACACCATAAAGCGGAGTGCTGTAAAGCGAGGTCCACCTGTAAATTCTCTAATGACTCACCGGCAGTGTTGCGTAGCACTTCAGCATTGCCAGACACGCTATACTGCCAGCCCGACCGCAGCTGAGCGGAGAACCCTGGAAGACCCGCCAGTGGCAGGCGTGGGAAGAAAGGATGAGCCAGTGGCGCTACAGGGGAGATGATGCCCGCATTGGGCAGACCACCAGTGTTGCTGGTCGACGTCACAACGTTATTCATGGAGGCAGTCACCCGCCCCAGAGCGGCGCCATTAATTACGGCAGCGGCCGAGTGTCCCGAGAGAGCCGGAAGAGTGCCTATGGGTGGTGGCATGGGGGTGGTGGCAGGAGTGCCATCATTAGAGCTGCTGCCACCTAAACTGGCAAGGAAATTTGCCTCGGCACCACCAACAACCCCAGACATCAAGCTTTTTATTTTGGTGATATCGGACTTGCTGATAGCTTTCTTGACGTCTATTGGCCGACCCTTTATGGAATGATTGCGAGTTACTGAAAAGCAAAAAAATACTGTTACAAACAGACTTGCATTCATTTATGGGGCATGTTGAAGCCTATTCTTAAAAATATTTACTGGGTATGAAAGTTTAGACACATGTGAAACATCTGGATATCTTTATTGTAGACGTTTTGCCATCCAGTGGCTTTATCAATACAGATTCTAGGACATAATTAGAAGACAGTAGAACTATATACAAAAAATGAGGTAATCAGTCCCTCAGTCTTGGAGTTAGTGTTCACAGCATCATGGTGGAGGAGAATCTGGAGCAAAGGCAAGAAGACTGGTGGTTATATAGGCGTCAATGGATAAGGACGTGTAGCAGACGAGGGCATAGTCACTGGTAGGCAGGATTCCCCAGTGGAAGTAGGTCCTACCCAAAGGGATGGGTTAGTTGTAGCAGCTGTGAGGAAGGTCTTGTAGATGTTTTCTGAACCAAGATTCTATGATGTTGCAGTGTCTGACAAGTTGTGCAAGAAAGGTATAAAATACCGACAATATGAAAGTTAAGACACGTGCAATATCTGGATATCTTTATTGTAGACCAGTCTTCTTGCCTTTGCTCCAGATTCTCCACCACCACGATGCTGTGAACACTAACTCCAAGGCTGAGGGACTAATTACCTCATCTTTTGTATATAGTTCTACTGTCTTCTAATTATGTCCTAGAATCTGTGTTGATAAGTCATTGGTGGGCGAAACGTCTACAATAAAGATATCCAGATGTTGCACATGTGTCTTAACTTTCATAGTGTTGGTATTTTATACCTTTCTTGCACAACTTACTGGGTATATTGAAGCTTATTCTAAATGATATTTACTGGAAATGTTGAAGCCTATTCTTAAAAATATTTACTGGGCATGTTGAAGCCTATTCTAAAAAAAATTTACTAGGCATGATGAAGTTAGTTAGTTTAATATGTTTATTATGCACCCCATACTCATCCTGTGGGTGGTAGTCAAAAGATTACAGAGGTACATAATGGGTCCAGGGACTGGGCCTCAAAGTTTTGATAGCTGAGCAAGTTACAGAGGTAATGAATTCACAATTTACAAAGGTAATGAACTCACAATTTACAAAGGTAATGAACTCCAGGTAGGTCTAGTCACACTCATGACAAGTTACAAAGGTATTTACAAATTACAGAGGTACATAATGGGTCCAGGGACTGGGCCCCAAAGTTTTGAAGGCTGAACTAGGTACAAGGTAATGAACTCACAAGTTACAAAGGTAATGAATACTGTAAGAATGGTTACTTACGTTTATACATGGCTACAATCATGAACAAATTATAGTGTAATGAGCAATTCACACTTCCACACCCGGTCACAACTGTAGTGAGTTATTGGTGCAAATATTGATTGTTGAGACACACACACACACACACACACACACACACACACACACACACACACACACACACACACACACACACACACACACACACACACACACACACACTCACACACTCACACACTCACACACTCACACACACTCACACACTCAAAGGACCCCAATGGAAATAAGTCACTCTGTCTGACTTTTTTGGGTTATCCCAGGTTCTCTACACATATGCTGCTATGTATGATAATTCTATGTAACTGTATTTGTGTATACCTGAATAAACTTACTTACTTACTTACACACACTCACACTCACACTCACCCTATTACCTCTAAAACTATTTATTTAAAGCTTATTAATTCTAAAAAAAAAATCAATTACAAAAAATAGTGATTCATTTTACTAGCTAATTTTTACATTCAAACTAAAAAAAATTATTTATTTCCATGGTGAACGAGGACATTCTATTTTTGCACCTAAATGGCCACCTCCAGGAAGACGAAGAAGACACATTCACCATCATTTATCCAGTGGGTTGGTTTAGTAAAGGACCTGCCAAGTATGGACACACAGGCCTATTACAGTGTTTCTCCTTTCTTATCTTCTTATGTTTTGTCAGGAGTGTGTTGATATCAGACTTAAGATGACACTCCCGCTACACCATCCCTACCATCACCCCCCTCCAGAGTGCAGCTACTGCACTACCAACCACCATCACCATCCCTCCAGAGTGCAGGTACTGCACTACCCATCACCATCGCCATCCCTCCAGAGTGCAGGTACTGCACTACCCACCACCATCGTCATCCCTCCAGAGTGCAGGTACTGCACTACCCACCACCATCACCATCCCTCCAGAGTGCAGGTACTGCACTACCCACCACCACCACCATCCCTCCAGAGTGCAGGTACTGCACTACCCACCACCACCACCACCACCATCCCTCCAGAGTGCAGGTACTGCACTACCCACCACCACCACCATCCCTCCAGAGAGCAGGTACTGCACTACCAACCACCATCACCATCCCTCCAGAGTGCAGGTACTGCACTACTCACCACCACCAACACCATCCCTCCAGGGTGCAGGTACTGTACTACCTACCACCACCACCATCCCACAAGAGTACAGGTACTGTACTACCAACCACCATCCCTCCAGAGTGCAAGTACTGCACTACCGACCACCACCACAACCACCCCACGAGAGTGCAGGTACTGTACTACCAACCACTATCCCTGCAGAGTGCAGGTACTGCACTACCAACCACCACAGCACCGTGTCTTCCTTTGCAGATGACACCCGAATCTGCATGACAGCATGTTCCATTGCAGACACTGCAAGGCTCCAGGCAGACATCAACCAAATCTTTCTATGGGCTGCCGAAAACAATATGAAGTTCAAGGATGAGAAATTTCAATTACTCCGATATGGTAAACATGAGGAAATTAAATCTTCATCAGAGTACAAAACAAATTCTGGCCACAAAATAGAGCGAAACACCAACGTCAAAGACCTAGGAGTGATCATGTCGGAGGATCTCACCTTCAAGGACCATAACATTGTATCAATCGCATCTGCTAGAAAAATGACAGGATGGATAATGAGAACCTTCAAAACTAGGGATGCCAAGCCCATGATGACACTCTTCAGGTCACTTGTTCTATCTAGGCTGGAATATTGCTGCACACTAACACCATCTTTCAAGGCAGGTGAAATTGCTGAACAAAAAAATGTACAGAGAACCTTCACGGCGCGCATAACGGAGATAAAACACCTCAATTACTGGGAGCGCTTAAAGTTCCTGAACCTGTATTCCTTGGAATGCAGGTGGGAGAGATACATCATTATATACACCTGGAAAATCCTAGAGGGACTAGTACCAAACTTGCACACGAAAATCACTCTCTCCGAAAGCAAAAGACTCGGCAGACGATGCAACATCCCCCAATGAAAAGCAGGGGCGTCACTAGCACGCTAAGAGACAACATAATAAGTGTCAGGGGCCCAAGACTGTTCAACTGCCTCCCAGCATACATAAGGGGGATTACAAATAGACCCCTGGCTGTCTTCAAGCAGACACTGGACAGGCATCTAAAGTCGGTACCTGACCAGCTGGGCTGTGTCTTCTACGTTGGATTGGATGTAGCCAGCAGTAACAGCCTGGTTGATCAGGCCCTGTTCCACCACGAGGCCTGGTCACAGACCGGGCCGCGGGGGCATTGACCCCAGGAACTCTCTCCAGGTAAACTTCAGGTAAACCACCACCATCCCTCCAGAGTGCAGGTACTGTACTACCTACCACCACCACCCCTCCAGAGTGCAGGTACTGTACCACCCACCACTGCCACCCCTCCAGAGTGCAGGTACTGTACTACCCACCACCACCACCACCCCTCCAGTGTGCAGGTACTGTACTACCCACCACCACCACCACCCCTCCAGTGTGCAGGTACTGTACTACCCACCACCACCACCCCTCCAGTGTGCAGGTACTGTACTACCCACAACCACTGCCCCTCCAGAGTGCAGGTACTGTACCACCCACCACCACCCCTCCAGTGTGTAGGTACTGTACTACCCACCACCACCACCACCCCTCCAGTGTGCAGGTACTGTACTACCCACCACCACTGCCCCTCCAGAGTGCAGGTACTGTACTACCCACCACCACCACCCCTCCAGTGTGCAGGTACTGTACTACCCACCACCACTGCCCCTCCAGAGTGCAGGTACTGTACTACCCACCACCACCCCTCCAGTGTGCAGGTACTGTACTACCCACCACCACTGCCCCTCCAGAGTGCAGGTACTGTACTACCCACCACCACCACCCCTCCAGTGTGCAGGTACTGTACTACCCACCACCACTGCCCCTCCAGAGTGCAGGTACTGTACTACCCACCACCACCCCTCCAGTGTGCAGGTACTGTACTACCCACCACCACTGCCCCTCCAGAGTGCAAGTACTGTACCACCCACCACTGCCACCCCTCTAGAGTGCAGGTACTGTACTACCCACCACCACCACCACCCCTCCAGTGTGCAGGTACTGTACTACCCTCCAACACCACCACCCCTCCAGTGTGCAGGTACTGTACTACCCACCACCACTGCCCCTCCAGAGTGCAGGTACTGTACCACCCACCACTGCCACCCCTCTAGAGTGCAGGTACTGTACTACCCACCACCACCGCCCCTCCAGAGTGCAGGTACTGTACTACCCACCACCACTGCCCCTCCAGAGTGCAGGTACTGTACTACCCACCACCACTGCCCCTCCAGAGTGCAGGTACTGTACTACCCACCACCACCACCCCTCCAGAGTGCAGGTACTGTACTACCCACCACCACCACCCCTCCAGAGTGCAGGTACTGTACTACCCACCACCCTTCCAGAGTGCAGGTACTGTACTACCCACCACCACCACCTTCACAGTGTACTCTCGTTGTACTCCAGTTACCAGTTACTCTTACTGCAGCTACAACTGAATAATGAGCTAAGATGACTGTCATTATCAATCAGTTCTTAACATTTTCAGTACACTGAATGCAGAAGCTAGAATTATTAACTCTTTGCCTCTGGCATTGTAATCACTTCTTACGACTTGCATGACTCGCAGGTAAAGAATTCTAGCCCACAATACAGGAGGCCCCTCTCATACAGCATTTTGGGTTCTGGGCTACTCTATGGCCCCACTTATACAGCATGTAGGGTTCTGGGCTATAGCCCAGAACCTAACCTGCTGTATAAGTGGGGCCCTGCAGTAACCCAGAACCTAACCTGCTGTATAAGTGGGGCCCTACAGTAGCCCAGAACCTAACCTGCTGTATAAGTGGGGCCCTACAGCAACCCAGAACCTAACCTGCTGTATAAGTGGGGCCCTACAGTAACCCAGAACCTAACCTGCTGTATAAGTGGGGCCCTACAGTAACCCAGAACCTAACCTGCTGTATAAGTGGGGCCCTACAGTAACCCAGAACCTAACCTGCTGTATAAGTGGGGCCCTACAGTAACCCAGAACCTAACCTGCTGTATAAGTGGGGCCCAACAGTAGCCCAGAACCTAACCTGCTGTATAAGGGGGGCCCAACAGTAGCCCAGAACCTAACATGCTGTATAAGTTGGGCCCAACAGTAGCCCAGAACCTAATGTGCTGTATAAGTGGGGCCCTACAGTAGCCCAGAACCTAACCTGCTGTATAAGTGGGGCCCTACAGTAACCCAGAACCTAACCTGCTGTATAAGTGGGGCCCTACAGTAACCCAAAACCTAACCTGCTCTATAAGTGGGGCCCTATAGTAACCCAAAACCTAACCTGCTGTATAAGTGGGGCCCTACAGTAACCCAGAACCTAACCTGCTGTATAAGTGGGGCCCAACAGTAGCCCAGAACCTAACCTGCTGTATAAGTGGGGCCCAACAGTAGCCCAGAACGCAACATGCTGTATAAGTGGGGCCCAACAGTAGCCCAGAACCTAACATGCTGTATAAGTGGGGCCCCTTGTACCACCTACTATTCTATTCTTGAGTGAACTTTTTCAATCACATTAACAAAAAAATCGCAAATCGCACTATGTATAAGAGCTTTATAAGAGAATTTACACAGGAGTGGAATGTAATGAAGTAGCTAATACTCCTAGGATCAAGAGCCCCTCACTAGTATCAAGGTACCTTTCTTGAAGACTATTATTAGTTTTATATTAAAATCTTAAGTGAAAAGACCGTTCTTATACAGGTCGACCATCACTAATCTGGCAATCAGTTATCCGGTTCCATCAGTAATCCGGCACTAATTTCGGCTGGCATAATTTCAAATTTCATCATTATACTCACTCAAATCATTATACTGACTCAAATTTCATCATTATCCTGACTCAAATTTCATCATTATCCTGACTCAAATTTCATCATTATCCTGACTCAAATTTCATCATTATACTGACTCAAATTTCATCATTATACTCACTCAAATCATTATACTGACTCAAATTTCATCATTATCCTGACTCAAATTTCATCATTATCCTGACTCAAATTTCATCATTATCCTGACTCAAATTTCATCATTATACTGACTCAAATTTCATCATTATACTGACTCAGACATTGTGTAGCTGGTTGTAAATCCACAGCAGCAAACCTTTGGAAGAGAAAGCTGTGATGTAAATGAGGAAGATGTAGCAGTGTCCACTGATAGGTTAATTAAGTGTATTCTAACCTAACCATTCTGTAATCCGGCAAACTCACTAATCCGTCACACTACAGGTCCCAATGATGCCAGATTAGTGATGACCGACCGGTATAAAACTACAGTGGAACCTCAAAAATCGAACGTATCACATATCAAACGTTTCGAAAATAGGACCATTTTTTCGGACGAACTGTGTCCCTATTATCGAACACGCCCCTATTTTCGGACCGCCGGGTACGGGACCTGTCTGCCGCCCGCTCTGTCCGCGTCCCCGCGCAGGCGCCATGAGCAGTCTAGCTTTGTTTATGCTTGAGTGAACACTAACCTGCGCTCTCATTCACGCATTTTACGATTATTTCGTTGTGTTTAGTGCTTGTGGGACTGTGAAATAAGCTGCCATGGGCCCAAAGAAACTTGCTAGTGGTACCCCTGTGGTAAAGAAAGTGAGAAACACCATAGATGTGAAGAAGGAAATAATACAGAAGTATGAGAGTGGTGTGAGACTTGTTGAGCTTGCCAGGATGTATGGGAAAAACAAGTCGACCATCAGTTCTATCCTGTCAAAGAAAGAGCAAATCAAGGAAGCTGATGTTGCAAAAGGTGTTAATATAGGGAGTGGATGAAGTGCCTTCTTCAAAGATTAAGGAGATTTGTGCCAAGCGGAATGATGTCCAAATGTTTGTGCAGAAGTACCACCCTGAGCAAGCTGAAACAAGCCATCTTTGCAACAAGTTCAGTGACAGAACCATGTCCCATTTTAGGGAAATGTTAAAGAGGCACCAGAAACAGAGGACTGTGGAGTTATTTTGTGAGACAGGGGTCCAGTGACTCTCAAGCTGGTCCTAGTGGCATTAAAAGACAGAGAAGGGAAGTAACCCCAGAGAGGGCTTTACCTGAAGTCCTCATGGAGGGGGATTCTCCTTCCAAACACTAACCTCAACTCCCTCTCCTCCTCCCTATCTTCCAGATGCCATCACCAATCTTCAATAAAGGTAAGTAAAAATGTTATTTTGTATGTATTACTATACATAATTAAAAACTATAGTATTTGTTGTATGTAAAACTGTAATTAATCTCTATAAAATGTATTTTTTGTGTGAATATTTTTGGGTTTCTGGAACGGATTAATTGTATTTCCATTATTTCTTATGGAAATATTGCTTCGAATTTCAGACTTTTCGAATTTAGAACTAGCTCCTGGAACGGATTAAGTTTGATTTTTGAGGTTCCACTGTATCAACAAACACACTAACACAAAACTATCAACAAAGACACTTACATAAAACTTTATCAACAGGATCATAGTCGTTGAAGTCAACAAAAGCGAAGCCTCTGTGGCGTCCACTGTTCTTGTCGTACATAATGTTGATACAGGTGACACGGCCAAAATGGGCGAAGTAAGTCTCCAAATCGTCTTCTTTCACATCCTGTGCAAAACACGTACAAGACAAAAGTTAAATCCAATGGTACTGTGTGTGTTTTGTTAACTGTTAACTAACACTGGGAGATGACACTACCATCACCCCTCCTTCAGAGTGCAGGTACTATACTACTATCACCATCCCTCCTTCAGAGTGCAGGCACTGTACTACCCACCACCACCCCTCCTTCAGAGTGCAGGCACTGTACTACCCACCATCACCACCCCTCCTTCAGAGTGCAGGTAGTGTACTTCCCACCACCACCACCCCTCCTTCAGAGTGCAAGTACTGTACTACCCACCACCACCACCCCTCCTTCAGAGTGCAGGTACTGTACTACCCATCACCACCACCCATCCTTCAGAGTGCAGGTACTGTACTACCTACCACCACCACCCCTCCTTCAGAGTGCAGGTACTGTACTACCCACCAATACTACCCCTCCTTCAGAGTGCAGGTACTGTACTACCCACCACCACTATCCCTCCAGAGTGCAGGTACTGTACTACCCACCAACACTACCCCTCCTTCAGAGTGCAGGTACTGTACTACCCACCACCACTATCCCTCCAGAGTGCAGGTACTGTACTACCCACCAAACACTACCCCTCCTTCAGAGTGCAGGTACTGTACTACCCACCACCACTATCCCTCCAGAGTGCAGGTACTGTACTACCCACCAACACTACCCCTCCTTCAGAGTGCAGGTACTGTACTACCCACCACCACTATCCCTCCAGAGTGCAGGTACTGTACTAACCCACCAACACTACCCCTCCTTCAGAGTGCAGGTACTGTACTACCCACCACCACTATCCCTCCAGAGTGCAGGTACTGTACTACCCACCAATACCACCCATCCTTCAGAGTGCAGGTACTGTACCACCCACCAACACCACCCCTCCTTCAGAGAGCAGGTACTGTACCATCCACCAACACCACCCCTCCTTCAGAGAGCAGGTACTGTACCATCCACCAACACTACCCCTCCTTCAGAGTGCAGGTACTGTACTACCCACCAATACCACCCATCCTTCAGAGTGCAGGTACTGTACTACCCACCAATACCACCCATCCTTCAGAGTGCAGGTACTGTACTACCCACCAACACCACCCCTCCTTCAGAGTGCAGGTACTGTACTACCCACCAACACCACCCCTCCTTCAGAGTGCAGGTACTGTACTACCCACCAACACCACCCCTCCTTCAGAGTGCAGGTACTGTACTACCAACCACTACCATCCCTCCAGAGTGCAGGTACTGTACTACCCACCAACACCACCCCTCCTTCAGAGTACAGGCACTGTACTACCCACCACCACCACCCCTCCTTCAGAGTGCAGGTACTGTACTGCGCACCAACACCACCCCTCCTTCAGAGTGCAGGTACTGTACTGCGCACCACCACCACCCCTCCTTCAGAGTGCAGGTACTGTACTACCCACCAACACCACCCCTCCTTCAGAGTACAGGTACTGTACTACCCACCACCACCACCCCTCCTTCAGAGTGCAGGTACTGTACCGCCCACCAACACCACCCCTCCTTCAGAGTGCAGGTACTGTACTACCCACCAATACCACCCATCCTTCAGAGTACAGGTACTGTACTACCCACCAACACACACCCCTCCTTCAGAGTGCAGGTACTGTACTACCACCAACACCACCCCTCCTTCAGAGTGCAGGTACTGTACTACCCACCAATACCACCCATCCTTCAGAGTACAGGTACTGTACTACCCATCAACACCACCCCTCCTTCAGAGTGCAGGTGCTATAACTACCCACCAATACCACCCCTCCTTCAGAGTGCAGGTACTGTACTACCCACCAAACCACCCTCCTTCAGAGTGCAGGTGCTATACTACCCACCAATACCACCCCTCCTTCAGAGTGCAGGTACTGTACTACCCACCAACACCACCCCTCCTTCAGAGTGCAGGTACTGTACTACCCACCAATACCACCCATCCTTCAGAGTGCAGGTACTGTACCACCCACCAACACCACCCCTCCTTCAGAGTGCAGGTACTGTACCACCCACCAATACCACCCATCCTTCAGAGTGCAGGTACTGTACCATCCACCAACACTACCCCTCCTTCAGAGTGCAGGTACTGTACTACCCACCAACACCACCCATCCTTCAGAGTGCAGGTACTGTACTACCCATCACCACCACCCATCCTTCAGAGTGCAGGTACTGTACTACCCACCACCACCACCCCTCCTTCAGAGTGCAGGTACTGTACTACCCATCACCACCACCCATCCTTCAGAGTGCAGGTACTGTACTACCCACCACCACTATCCCTCCAGAGTGCAGGTACTGTACTACCCACCAACACCACCCCTCCTTCAGAGTGCAGGTGCTATACTACCCACCAACACCACCCCTCCTTCAGAGTGCAGGCACTGTACTACCCACCACCACCACCCCTCCTTCAGAGTGCAGGTACTGTACTACCCACCACCACCACCCCTCCTTCAGAGTGCAGGTGCTATACTACCCACCAACACCACCCATCCTTCAGAGTGCAGGTACTGTACTACCCACCACCACCACCCCTCCTTCAGAGTGCAGGTACTGTACTACCCACCACCACCACCCCTCCTTCAGAGTGCAGGTGCTATACTACCCACCAACACCACCATCCTTCAGAGTGCAGGTGCTATACTACCCACCAATACCACCCTCCTTCAGAGTGCAGGTTACTGTACTACCCACCACCCACCACCCCTCCTTCAGAGTGCAGGTGCTATACTACCCACCAACACCACCCCTCCTTCAGAGTGCAGGTGCTATACTACCCACCAACACCACCCCTCCTTCAGAGTGCAGGTGCTATACTACCCACCAACACCACCCATCCTTCAGAGTGCAGGTGCTATACTACCCACCAACACCACCCCTCCTTCAGAGTGCATGTACTGTACTACCCACCACCACCACCCCTCCTTCAGAGTGCAGGTACTGTACTACCACCAACACCACCCCTCCTCAGAGTGCAGGTACTGTACCACCCACCACCACCACCCCTCCTTCAGAGTGCAGGCACTGTACCACCCACCACCACCACCCCTCCTTCAGAGTGCAGGTACTGTACCACCCACCACCACCACCCCTCCTTCAGAGTGCAGGTACTGTACCACCCACCACCACCACCCCTCCTTCAGAGTGCAGGTACTGTACTACCCACCACCACCACCCCTCCTTCAGAGTGCAGGTACTGTACCACCCACCACCACCACCCCTCCTTCAGAGTGCAGGTACTGTACTACCCACCACCACTATCCCTCCAGAGTGCAGGTACTGTACTACCCACCAACACCACCCCTCCTTCAGAGTACAGGTACTGTACTACCCACCAACACCACCCCTCCTTCAGAGTACAGGCACTGTACCACCCACCAACACCACCCATCCTTCAGAGTGCAGGTGCTATACTACCCACCTGCAGGATTTAATTAAGGGAGGAGGTGGTTATTCATCCTACTACACCTCTATAAATCATTCGAATTTCATACTACCCTGTGAAACAAGCTATCTAGTACACCTCTGGCACCTCTTCCTTAGTTTATACCAATGGTACTTTATCGTTCCCCTGTTGATGCTGATAGGAAAACCTTCTTATCAAATCATTTTGAGATAGGAAAACCTTATCAAGTCATTTTGCATGCGCTGACCTGTGCTGTGCTCATAATGCTCGTCCTTAACTCCTAAGTCATCTATGGTAGTTTATCTGACTAAAAAATATTGACATTCATGGTAAATTTAGGTTTACTGAACCTTGCACACTGCTGAGAAACTTCATCTTTCATTGTGCACACTGAATAAAAATATAAACACATATGCCGTATAATGTGATCCTTTATTGACAACGTTTCGCCCACACAGTGAGCTTTTTTCAGTCACAAACAGATCTGTTTGTGACTCTGAAAAGCCCACTGTGTGGGCAAAATGTTGTCAATAAAGGATCACATTATACTGCATGTGTGTTTATATTTCCATTGTGTCGGTATTTTATACCATTTATTTCCACTGCACACTGAATAAACTGGGACTTAATCCCACACTTGCATACTCAAATTCACCTCAGAACACATTCAGTATACATAGTAGAAACTCACTTTCTGATCCAATATTTTCCAGTACCCAAAAGGGTATATACAGTGTAGAGGACGACCCCACATATACAGCACCTCTTTTGGTGTTCCACGTTTTTGTTGGCTTTTAATTGAATTGTTGTTCACTATGTTTGGTGGTTTTACCGCTTTTTCCGCCATTTTTGCACAACAGTTGTGTAAGGGAAGAGTTGGCCTGGTGGCCTGGTGGCTAAAGCTCCCGCTTCACACACGGAGGGCCCGGGTTCGATTCCCGGCGGGTGGAAACATTTCGACACGTTTCCTTACACCTGTTGTCCTGTTCACCTAGCAGCAAATAGGTACCTGGGTGTTAGTCGACTGGTGTGGGTCGCATCCTGGGGGACAAGATTAAGGACCACAATGGAAATAAGTTAGACAGTCCTCGATGACGCACTGACTTTCTTGGGTTATCCTGGGTGGCTAACCCTCCGGGGTTAAAAATCCGAACGAAATCTTATCTTATCTTATCTTATCTAACTGGCACCATATTTTAAGGTAAGTGTATTGTATGTACTGTGTATATTTTTTTTCTTTTTGCATCTTTTTTTTTTTCTAGATATAATGAGCACTTAACATAGTGTAAACATGTTACCAAGCATTTAGATGCATTAGATAATTAAAAAAATGCTCTTTTCCACTCACTGGCAATTTCTGCTTATCGTACAGAGTTGGGAACCAAAGAGCCACACAAACTAGGCCCTCCTGTGGGTTTAGCTCTCCCCTTTTAATAACAATCTTTTTTCTTACCCGGGTAAATGGTTTCCAAACGTATATTTTATGTTTTTTCAACATTTAAAAAGTTTTGAAAAAAAAAGAACATCTTTTTTTTGGTTTTTTTACTTTTGAAAATTGTGAAAAAAAAAATAGATCTACTTTTGTAGGGAAAGTACAATTTTAAAAAGTAGACCCTTCTTGGACCTTTGGGGCCACCAACATGGAACCCAATTGTTTTTCTTTTGTAGCATTTCACTTGGGGAAACGTGATTGCTTGGAGTTCCCACAAACCCATGTGAACATAGTTACTTTTGTAGCATACAATGTGAACGAAAGATCGGTTTTGGCCCGGGTTGGCATTTACACATGTAAAAAAGGGATCTACTTTTGTAGCACTACACTTTGGTGAACGTAGATTGCTTGGACCTTTGCATACACAGTGAACAAGATCTGTTTTTTTGTAGCACTAACATGTGAAGGGTAAAATCTGCTTGGCCCCGTTTAGGGTTAAGAGGTGTTTTATTTTTTTAAGGGAAAAGCAAATGTTATAGTTTATTTAATCTTTTAGTAGAGGACTGAAGCATTTGTTGACGGTAGGGGTTTAAGTTGATGAATTTTTAAACCCCTTTCGGGGTCGGCAGGCCATCTCCCAAAAAATTGTTCTAGTGTGGGAAAAATTTTCTTTGAAAAAAAAAAAAAAAAAAAAATTTTTGGGAAATTTTTTTAGAAAAACTTCTTTTGTCAAAAAGGACCCCAAAAAGTTAAAAATTTGAGGGAAAAAAACTTAGGGAAAATTAGCTCTAGCGAATTTTTAGGGCCCGGCGAGGGTTTACGCATCGGCGTTTCCCCGTTTTTAACCCTATTTTCGGGGCCATTTCCATTGTACCAGTGACAAAATCGTAAATACTTCATTGGGAACCCTTTCTCATCGAAGATTTAAAAGGGAAAACCCCCCAAATTTCCCAATTTCAACATTCAATAGTGGCCCAAAAAAATTTGGGCCCAAATTTTTTTTTTTTTTGGAATTTCACAAAAAAATTTCGGGAAAATGCAAAATTTCCAAATGGGTTTAGAAAAAAAAAGCCCTTTTTCTCTTTTCATTAGTCATTCCCCAGGCCTTCAAAACATCTCTTTTGTTTTCCCCATTTTTAAAAAATTTTTTAGTCTCACCAAAAAATAGAAGATTTATTTTAAAGCAGACTACTGTGTTAGTGTAGAAAAGAAAATAAAAAATTTTCAGCGCACTTGGGGAAATAAATTAGTTTAAATTATTTGGGACTTTGTATTGGACGCGTGGCAGGGATTTTTTTTTAACTTTTAAACCCCTTTGGAAAAAACGAACATTTCTGAACTTTGGTAAATTTTAAAGGTATTTTTTCTTTGAAAAACCCAGCCCAAAAGATTTTCAATTTCTGTTAATATGTCCCCCAAATTCTAAAAAAATGAGCCCCGGGAAAAAAATAGTTTACAACCAAAATAGCTTTAGGGAAATACAGTGCAAAGTCCCCTTTTTTTTAAAGCAAAAACATGGTGGATTTTTTTTTTTCTCATTATGCACTGTGTGCGGGAGGGGTTTTTTTTTTTTCTGTGCACACTGACCACATAGGAAAAAATTCTTTTAAATGTAGGGGCCCACCAGCCCTTTTTCTTGCTAGGGTTTTAAGGCACTAGAATTTTTTGGTACTAGTTTCAGCACCAACCTGGCGTTTTCAAGCCCCTACTAGTACGGGCACCAAAAATGAAAAAGGGGTTTAAAGACCCCTTTTGTAGAGACAGACTTTGAACCCTTTAAACCAAACCCCCCTGCCAATAGGCAAACCCCTTCTTGTTATTTCATTTTTTATTAATGTCCCGTTTCCGGGTACAAAAATTTTTTCACTATCTTAAACATTTTAGGTTTTACAATATAAAAAACAAATAGGGCCCCCCATCCGCGGGGGATAATGCCAAAAACCCCCGGGATTTCTGAGACCATGAAAAAGAGCAAAACCCTATATGTAAAAATCCCATACATACTATTATCAAAGTTTAAATTTATAAATTATGCACAATAAGTGGAGAATTATTATTTTTCACCGAGGGGAAGAACTTCAGGCTTTTAAGAATGGCAGGCTCTACTTTTTCACTTTGGGGGGGATTTTTATGTAAAATTATGAGGTATTTTTGGGCCACAGTAAAAACCGTGGAACAGAAAAACCCTGGATACCCAATCAGTGGATATTGGGGGTTCTACTGTTTTAAAAAGTCTTAAGAAAAAAAACCCTAAAAATGGCGAGAAGTTGGGCTCTTGGTCTGAGTTAATAGATCCAACTTTCTGTGTATTCATTTACAGTATTTATTACAACTTAATCTTTTTTTATTGTTTAAACTTTATTTCTTCAAGTACATGTAAAGGTAAAAACAGATATAATACTACAATGGAAAACCTTTGAAGAAGGGGTTGCGAGAGTTTATTTTCTTTTGAGCCTGGCCCGGGGCAGGCTTTATTAGGCTCGGGTTTTGAACTTAAAATTATTCCCGGGAAGGGTGTTTTAAATGCTGTTACCCGAATGAATTTTCTCGAATGAATTTGGCAAAAAGGGTGGAGGGTTTAAAAAATAAAGAACACCCCCAAAGGGGGTTGTCCAGTTGCTCTTTTTCTGATGGGGCACTGTGCTCTTGGGGAAAATTCTTTAAAAAAGTTTTCAGAGGTTGATGGATGAAATTTTGGGGGGGTGTTTTAAAAGAAGAAAAAATTAAAAATGAATGCCCGGAAAGAGTAAGGTTATGAGGGGTAACAAAAAAAAGATTTTGGGTTCAGGGGTGGAGGGGGAGGTATGGGAGGAGGTGAATTTTATTCAGATATTTGGGAGTAAAAAGGGGGTAGCGGAGGGGTTTTAAAGAGAGGTGAATCAAAGAATTGATGAGGGGAAAAGGGTGGAAATGGTGCACTTTGGGTCTGTTTGGGGACAAAGAAACTTTTTCCTTGGGGAAAGAGGGGGAAAGTATGAGAGATTGTTTAACCCCAAAGCTCTTATTTTGGGTGTGAAGCATGGGGGAATGAATGTTTGAGCAAAAGGGGAAGGCTGGGGGGGGAGTGGGGATGTCATGGGTTAGGGGCAATGTGTGGTGTGAAAATTTAAGCAAGGGAAATTTTTTAGTTTGGAAATTAAAAGGGGGAGGTGCGGGTTGCCAAAAAAAGTTGTCCCGAGGGTGAAGGGGAAAGGGGTTTTGAGGGGGTTCGGAAAATTTTAAAAGAGAAAGGAGCCCAAAAAAGAATGACTTCAAGAATGTTTCGGGTTTTAGGGGGAAAGGAAAGGGGGGGAGGGGGTCGGCCTAGAAAAGGTTGGAGGGAGGGGGGTTAAAAGGGGGTTTTTTTTGTGCAAGGGGGTTTGGGGCTTCCGCGGGCAAAGCGTGGCGTGTTTGATAGGGTGAATGGGGGGACAAATGGTTTTTAATAAATTGAGTGCTGTTTGGGGGGTGAGCAAAGAACATTTTATGAAGGGGTTTAGGGGGAAACCGGCAGGCCGGGGCTTGGGGTCCCGGAGAAGGGAAAATTCAGGCCCGCACTTGAAGGAGGGGTGTTAATGTTGCAGTTTAAAAACTGTAGTGTAAAGCACCCTTCTGGCAAGACAGTGATGGAGTGAATGATGGTGAAAGTTTTTCTTTTTCGGGCCACCCTGCCTTGGTGGGAATCGGCCAGTGTGTTAATAAAAAAAATAAAATAAGGAATAACGTAAATTAGATTAGTCCGTTTCAGACCCCAAAAATACATTTACACAAGCGCTTACAATATTACACTTACATAATTGTTCGAGTTGGGAGCTGTTCGAAACTCGAGGTACCACTGTATACAGAAAGCGCCTTGTTATGCTGAGCATTTCCCGTATATTAGGTCAGTTTTGTCCCAGGATGTGACCCACACCGGTCCACTAACACCCAGGATGTGACCCACACCAGTCCACTAACACCCAGGATGTGACCCACACCAGTCCACTAACACCCAGGATGCAATCCACACCAGTCCACTAACACCCAGGATGCAACCCACACCAGTCTACTAACACCCAGGATGCGACCCACACCAGTCCACTAACACCCAGGTATCCATTATTACTGATGGGTGAACAGGGAGAGCAGGTGTAAGGAAACACGCCCAATGTTTCCACCCTTTGCCGGGAATTGAACCCAGACCCTCACCTTGTGAAGTGAGAGCTTTTGCCACCAGGCCATGGGGCACATAAATCTGAGTTTATATACAGGTGCTCCTGGACTTACGATGGTGTTACACTCCAACGAACCCATTATAAGTCAAATATGAATATGATATGCTAAATAAATAAGTTAATAAATAGCTACTGCTATTGAACAAGTAAATAATTACTGTAACCAACTAAATACCAGTATTGAAAAGTAAATAAATGAATACAAGTTATGGACTTGCTGCCTTCATGCTGGGTAATTACTTTGGCACCATCGTAAAGTTGAAACATCGAAAGTCAAACCAATGTAAGTCAAGGAGCACCTGTCCTCTATCTCTACATTTCTGTCTTCCCATTCTGCAACTCTTGGCTGACAACCCACCTGGGGAAGACCCCCTATAAAAATCCTGGTGTGATTGGCATCAGGATGATTGGCCGTGGGGAGAAAGGTGTTGTTGGCATCACTGCGCGGTACAGCACGCTTGGTTTCCACCAGACGCCCGTCCACCTTGTGTGGCCTGGCTCGCTGCACTGCATCAACGTGGTCTGGGTTCATGAAGGTCACAAAACCAAATCCTCGAGACCTGCAATGAAGAATCAGTAGAAGGAGAAAATCCACAATTTCTTACAGTATTTTCTGGCATATGAGGCACATGACCTTATAAGACAATGTTTCCAAGCAGCTGTAATGTAACATTAGTAAACAACTGCTAAAGCATAACCCAAAGCCTACCCTAGACCCTGACCTTGAACATATAAGGCACAAGCTGATTTTCCAAGACTTTTTGTTGAGGAAAAAAGAGCAAATTATATACAGTGGACCCTCAGTTAACGCCTGCATCGGATAGCGCCAAAATCGGATAACGCCTCACTTTCAGGTAAAAAAAAATTGGCTCGGATAACACCTAAAAACTCGGTTAGGAGCTTTCATCCCGAACGTGTCTGCTCGGAGCCCTGAGTGGGCCCAGCCAGTCATCCCGTCTATCAGCCAGTGTGCCATTGTTTACAAGCACTGAGGACGTTTCCATGTGTACATGTGATATATTTTGTATTATTCCATTGTTTTTAGTGCTTGTAACTGCTAAATAAGCCACCATGAGCCCAAAGAAAGCTTCTAGTGGCAACCCTGTAGTAAAAAAGGGACAGGCTTACTATCGAATTGAAAAAGGAGATAATAGAAAAGTACGAGAGTGGAGTGCGTATCTCAGAGTTGGAAAAGTTATACAACAAACCCCATTCAACCATCATTACTATCTTGCACAACAAAAAGGCACAAAGGAAGCCGTTGTTGCAAAAGGTGCAAGTGTGCTTACAAAACAGAGATCGCAAATACTCGAAGATGTGGAGAGAGTGTTGTTGGTGTGGATAAACGAGAAACAATTATCGGGAGATATAGTTTCACAGTCAATCATATGTGAAAAGGCAAGGCAGTTGCACAAGGATCTCATTAAGAAAATGCCTCCAAATGAATTTAAGGCCAGAAAAGGCTGGTTTGAGAGATTTAAAAAGCGTAGTGGCATACACAGTGTGATAAGGCATGATGAGGCTGCCAGTTCTGACAAAAAAGTGGCTGAAAAATATGTGCAGGACTGTTAAGGAGTACAGAGACACTGAAAAATTAAAACCCCAACAAGTGTTTAATTGTGACAAAACAGGGCTGTTTTGGAAGAAAATGCCAAACAGGACCTACATTACTCAGGAGAAAAAGGCACTCCCAGGACACAAGCCTATGAAAGACAGGCTAATTCTTATGTTGTTGAGTAATGCTAGTGGGGATTGCAAAGTGATGCCTTCACTCGTGTATCACTCTGAAACTCCCAGTGTGTTCAAGAAAAACAATATCGTCAAGACTAAATTGTGTGTGATGTGGAGAGCGAACAGTAAGGCATGGGTCACTAGAGACATGTTTATTGACTGGTTCTATGATGTGTCTGGCCCCACTGTGAAACAGTGGACTGTAAAATAAATTGTCACTCAAGTGCCTCCTGGTAATGGACAATGCTCCTGCTCATCCTCACGACTTGCCAGAGCAAATTGCAAGGAAGTTGAGGTTCATCAAAGTGAAGTTTCTGCCTCCTAATACCACTCCTCTCCTCCAGCCCATGGACCAGCAGGTCATTTCAAATTCCAAAAAAAAACTGTACACCAAAGCTATGTTTCAAAAGTGCTTTGAAGTGACCTCAGACACTGAATTGACCCTAAGAGAGTTCTGGAAAGATCACTTCAGTATCCTCAGTTGCATAAACCTTATAGGTAAGGCTTGGGAGGGAGTGACTAACAGGACTTTGAACTCTGCTTGGAGAAAATTGTGGCCACAATGTGTACAAGAGAGGGATTTTGAAGGGTTTGGGGCTGACCCTAAGGAGCCTATGCCAGTTGTGGAATCTATTATGGCATTGAGGAAGTCTATGGGGTTGGATGTGAATTTTGAGGATGTGGAAGCGTTGGTGGAGGACGACGATGAAGAGTTAACCACTACAGAGCTGTAAGAGCTTCAGGTGCAACAGCAACAGACCAAAGCTCAGGGATTTCCTTCAGAGGTGGAGCAAGATAGACGGAGGAAGTTGCCTTTGTCAAAGATTAAGGAAATGTGTACAATGTTTGCAAAGGTGCAAGCATTTATGGATGAACATTATCCTGACACAGCTGCTGCAAGCCGTATTGGCAACTTGTACAATGACACTCTTGTGGCCCATTTTAGGGAAATCTTTAAGGGATGTGAGAAACAAAGCTCTCTGGACACACATTTTGCACGACAGGGGTCCAGCGACTCTCAAGCTGGTCCTAGTGGCATTAAAAAACAAAGAAGGAAAGTAACCCCAGAAAAGGACTTGTTAAATGAAGTCTTTATGGAAGGGGATTCCCCTTCCAAACACTAGAACACCTGCATCATCTGCCCTCCTACCGTCTCATCACTCACCAACAATTCCACAGTAAAGGTAAGTGTCATGTCAGTAATGTTTATTGTGCATGTAACATTGTGTTCTGTGTAGGAAAATGTATATTTCATGTGAAAAAAAAAAAAAATTCATACTTTTGGGTGTCTGGAACAGATTAATTGTATTTCCATTATTTCCTATGGGGAAAATTAATTCGGTTAAACCCTTTCAGGGTTTCTGACGTACTAGTACGGCTTACACACCAGGGTTATTGACATACTAGAATGCCTAAATTCTAGCACCTTCAAATCTAGTGAGAGAAAGCTGGTAGGCCTACATATGAAAGAATGGGTCTATGTGGTCAGTGTGCACAGTATAAAAAAAATCCTGCAGCACACAGTGCATAATGAGAAAAAAACTTCCAACCGTGTTTTTGGTTTAAAACAGCGACTTTGCACTGTACTGTATTTTCATATGGTATTTATGGTTGCATTCTAGTTTTCCTGGTCTCAATTTATAGAATAGAAGATATATTACAGAAATTGAGATGATTTTGATTGGTTTCATAATGAAAAGTACCTTGAAATTGATCTCAAAGTAGGAGAAATGTTTGATTTTTACCAAATTTCAAAAGTAAACAAATCATGCCAAGAATCCAATACATTGGCCGAAAACAGGGCTCAAAGCGGGCGAAACGCCGATGCGTCAACATCGTCGAGACCGCTAACTTCGTGAGAGCATAATACTGTAAGTTTTCCATCAAATTTCATTATTTTGGTGTCATTATGACCGGGAAAAGATTCTCTATCATTTGATAAGAAAAAATAATTTTTTTTCCAAAAAATTTTCGACCCTGAGAAAGAGTTTAGGAGATGGCCTCTCGACCCTGAAAGGGTTAAAAGCTAAATCAGTTAAAGCCTAGCTCTCTGGAACAGATTAAAGGCATTAACTGAGGGTCCACTGTACTGGAAAATATGGTAATATAGTAGGACCCTGTATTCGTAGGGTATGTGTTCCCAAGACCTGCTGCAGATACCGAAACCACGGATAGTAGTGAACCCTATACATAGATACCAAAACTATGGATAGTAGCAAACCCTATACATAGATACCAAAACCATGGATAGTAGCGAACCCTATACATAGATACCAAAACTATGGATAGTAGCAAACCCTATACATAGATACTGAAACCACAGAGAGTAGCGAACCCTATACATAGATACTGAAACCACAGAGAGTAGCGAACCCTATACATAAATACTGAAACCATGGAGAGTAGCGAACCCTATACATAGATACTGAAACCACAGAGAGTAGCGAACCCTATACATAGATACTGAAACCACGAAGAGTAGCGAACCCTAAACATAAATACTGAAACCATGGAGAATAGCAAACCCTATACATAGATACTGAACCACAGAGATACGAACCCTTACAAGAACTGAAACCACGGAGAGTAGCAAACCCTAAAAAAATACTAAAACCCCAGGAGAGAGCGAACCCTAACGTACATAGATACTGAAACCACGGAGATAGCGAACCCTAAAATAAATACGAAACCAGGAGAGTCGAACCCTATACAAATACTAAAAAACCACAGAGAGCAAACCCGATAGTACATTTTTTCCTATACAAACCCATTATAAAGTTATTGATAAATTCTGCACAATAGAAAATTCCCCCATTTTCACTGATGGAAACACTTAAAGGGTTCTCAAAGGTTTTGAAGAACTGCCATCATACTCTTTGCACTCTGAGGTCATTAAAAACCTTAACCTGTCCAAACAGATCTAGTTCACATGTTATGCTCCAAAATAGATCAAACGTTTTTTAAATATTTTCAAATATAAAAAAAAAAACTGTAGATCAAATTTTTTTTTACCTTTTTCAAATGTAAAAAAAAAAAAGAAGATCTACTTTTTTTACATACTTTAAATTTTTGAAAAAAACGTAGATCACTTTTGGACATTTGGGGTTAAGAAAAATTTTAAGTGTTATTTTCGGGCCAGGGGAGACAAACCTCCAGTTTTACGTACTTGGAAATTCCCATAACTATTTTCTCATCACTTTTGTAACCCGGCACGTCCCCTCCCTACCAACGTGAATGCCAATTTTCTTAAAATTATCTAACCAAACCCCTACTAACCTTGAATGATCGAGTTTCAGCACTTTCCGATTTTTTTTCTAAAGAGGTCACATGAAACTGCCTCGCTTTTTCCCCAAAAAAAGGGCCTCTGAAACACCATCAACCGAAACTGTTTTTCGTTTACCCTAATCAATAAATTTCTCGACCTCCTCAATAATTGATATCACTTTTGACCTTTTGCAAGGTCAGTGTTTTAAATTTTTTTCCCTTTGGCCCGTAAAAATCTAAGGGTAGACTTTTTTTCCCAAAAAATTTTTGCTATAAAACCAGCGAGTCGATCTTCTTCATCCCTTATAATAACTTATTTTTAAACTCAACAGCGCTTTTTAAACTTTACTTTCATCTTTTTATCCTTCTTCGGACCCATACACTTATCTTAAAAATAAAAAGAACTGCATCAAAACCGCAAAAAAACAAAAAAAAAATCCAAAGACACAAAAAAAAGCTCAAAGATGTTACATTGCAGTTAGTGGTATACTGATCATACCCACACTCTTGACCCATTCCCCAGTGCACTTTCTGTCAGATGTCCCTGAGCTGTTCGTCCTGT